TGAGGGTACACTCCGTCCCTTCATCCAGGACGTTGATGAAAAGGTTAAACAGGACTGGACCCAGAACTGACCCCTGGGGAACACTGCTAGCTACAGGCCTCCAACTAGACTCTGTGCCACTGATCACGACCCTCGGAGCTCTGCCATTCAGCCAGTTCTCAATCCACCTTGCTGTCCACTCATCCAACCCACACTTCCTGAGCTTACCTGTGAGGATGTTATGGGAAACAGCATCAAAAGCCTTGCTCAAGTCAAGGTAGACAACATCCACTGCTCTCCCCTCATCTACCCAGCCAGTTGTGCCATCACAGAAGGCTATCAGATTGGTCAAGCATGACTTCTCCGTGGTGAATCCATGTTAACTACTCCTGATAACCTTCTTTTCCTCCGCATGCTTAGAGATGACATCCGGAATGAGCTGCTCCATCACTTTTCCAGGGATGGAGGTGAGGCTGACTGGCCTGTAGTTTCCTGGGTCCTCCTTCTTGCCCTTTTTGAAGACAGGAGTGACATTGGCTTTCCTCCAGTCCTCAGGCACTTCTCCTGTTCTCCATGACCTTTCAAAGGTGATAGAGGGTGTCTGGGCAATAACATCTGCCAGCTCCCTCAGCACTCATGGGTGCATCCCATCAGGGCCCATGGATTTGTGGGTGTCCAGTTTGCCTAAATGATCTCTAACCTGATCCTCCTTGACCAAAGGAAAGTCTTCCTTTCTCCAGGCTTCTTCTCTTACCTCCAAGATCTGGAATTCCTGAGGGCCCCAGTCTTTAGCAGTAAAGACTGAAGCAAAGAAGTCATTCAAGTACTCTGCCTTCTTTGTATCCTCTGTCACCAGGGCACCCACCTTGTTCGACAGCAGGACCACATTTTCCCTAGTCATCTTTTTGCTACTGATGTATTTGTAGAAGCCCTTCTTCTTGTCCATGACATCCCTTGCCAGATTTAATTCCAAGTGGACCTTAGCCTTCCTCATCACATCCCTGCATGCTCTGACAGCATTCCTATATTCCTCCCAAGTGGCCTGTCCCTTTTTCCACGTTCCATAAACTTCCTTCTTCCATTTCAGTTTTGCCAGAAACTCCTTGCAGGTCTCCTGCCCACCTTGCTTGATTTTTTACTCATAGAGATGCACCGATCTTGAGCTTGGAGGAAGAGGTGCTTGAATATTAACCAGCTCTCTTACGCCCTACTACCTACCAGAGCCCTAACCCATCGGATCCCTCCAAGCAGGTCCCTGAAGACGCCCAAGTTAGCTCTCCTGAAGTCCAGGGTAGTAATCCTACCTATTGCCCTTCTTCCTCCACGCAGGATCCTGAACTCTACCATCTCATGGTCACTGTAGCCAAGGCTGCCCCCAGGCTTGACATCCCCAACCAGTCCCTCTTTCTCTGTTAGTACAATATCCAGCAGAGCCCCTCTCCTCGTTGGCTCCTCCAGCACCTGTGTCAAAAAGTTATCGGTGCTCTGCAGGAACCTCCTGGACTGTGTGTGCCTGGCTGTGTTGTCTTCCCAGCAGGTATCAGGGTGGTTGAAGTCCCCAATGAGATCCGAGGCTTGGGATCGTGAGGCTGCTTTCAGCTGTCTGTAGAAGGCCTCATCGACTTCCTCATCCTGATCAGGTGGCCTGTAGTAAACACCCACAACAGCGTCACCCATAGTAGCCTGCCTCTTGATTCTTACCCATAAGCTCTCGACTCGTTCTTATTCTGCCCCTAGGCAGAACTTGATACATTCCAGTTGCTCCCTTACACAGAGAGCAACTCCACTACCTCGCCTTCCTGGCCTGTCCTTCCTAAATGCTTCCATGACAGCATTCCAGTCACGTGAGCTATCCAACCACCATGTCTCTGTAATTGCAAAGAGATCATGGCCCTGCAACCTCACACAGATCTCTCATTCTTCCTGTTTATTGCTCATGTTGCATGCATTGGTGTACAGGCATTTCAGAGAGGTAATTGAGCATGGAGGTTTCCCAGGAGGGGTGCAAGAGGATCCACCATAGCCATACACACCCTTGAGGTGGGTGGCCTTCTGGTTCTCTTCTTGGGAGGCAGCTAAGGAACGTTTGTCGCTGTTCTGGTTGGCCTGGCTTACTCCCCAGTTGGATGCGATGGCGTGGGCATTGTCACTTTGGACCCCGCACCCTGAGTCCTTTGGTTTAAAGGCCACCTCACCAAGCTGGCCAGCCTGCTGCCAAAGATTCTCTTGCCAAAGTTTCTCTTTCTCCACTAAAGAAAGAAGAGCACGTTTGAAAGTCATAAATCCTACAAGCCTGTCCCCATGAGGAGAACAATAATAATGCCCCTTTTCAATTGATTTTATATTCGCCATTTATTGTAGGCTGGCTGAACCTGTGCGAGGGATAACTTATGTTAAGGTTGGGAGGCTGGGACTCCGGTTTTGTGATATTAGCAAATTAAAGTAGGCCATAGGTTATAGGCAGGAGAGGGTGCTGTAGGGTATTGCCAACAGCTATCTCCGGCAAAATTAAAGTAAGCTCAGCAGATTTCTGCTGATTACTCTTCGTTTAGTTTGGATCAGATGGATCCAAATGGACTTTTAGTAGAGATGAAGCTCTTTGGTCTCCTATCTCATGCGAATTAATCCAGTATTTTGCAATCTGTGGGAGAGAGTAGGCCTTGGCGGGTGCTGAAAGGTCCCACTGACTTGTGAGAGTCTTGAAGCTATGATGGAGCTTTCTACCCAGGTTAAGTTTGTGGTGAGAGAAGGTAAGAGAGATGCATTCTGTACGCAAGTCTGTGCTATTTGGTCCTTTCCTCTAAACAGCAGTGCATTCACTTTCTGTATTTTTTACACGGTGCAGGTCAGTGAGAGTGCAAAGAAGGATCTGAAGGAAGGTATGAAGCTATACAATTCAGAAAATAATGTTGGACTGAAAAATGCATGGAATATCATTCAAGCAGAGGTAAAATATTTTCCCAAGAGAAAAAAAATAACAATTTGGCACAATAAAGCCACAATAAAGGCTGCTGCAGTCTGTTAACTGTGGCATCCATGCCAAGTCTAAAATCTGACTACTGCAGGCTTTGGTTTCTGATTTTGCACTCTTGAGCAGCCAGGAGGTACTGTGAAACCAAGGATCAAAGTGCACTCTGTAACGTGAAAGATGCTGACCTCTGAGATTCTCTGTACCTATCACAGGCACAGAGATGATCTGAAACAGAGGAGAAGCAGCAAAACTTGCATAGGTAGAACTGCGGCTTTGGCGGCTATACTTTTGCCGTTCCACAGTTTTGGGCAGGTTATCTTATGTTTTGGTGTTTGGGCTCATGTCTCTGTGACAAGAAGACTAACATACCTTGGGCACGGGACTGTTTATTTTCTTTGGTTTTGTTTGGTTTTGGGTTTTTTAATCTTGTTAAGTATTTGCTTTTAGTGATCACTGAACACAAAGCACTTTAAAAATACAAAAGTGTTGTGGCAGCCCTATTGAAAACAGTGGTTTAGTGGAAGTAAAAGTTTGTGGTGGTGCATGATTCACAAATTGTGCTAGTTAATTTATTAATCCTTTACTTTTGCCATAGATGAAATGCTGTGGTGTGAATGACTTTACGGATTGGTACCCAGTGCTGGGAGAAAACACTGTCCCAGACCGATGTTGTACGGAAAATTCCCAAGACTGTGGACGGAACTCCACCGAATTAGTGTGGAAAACAGTAAGGCTCGCTTTGCCCAGGTCAAGGCTTAGGGCAGGGTGGGAAGGAAGAAAATAGAGGGAATGCACATGAAAGAAAATGTCACCTTGGGATTTCAATTTTCATCTTTCATCATTTCAGGGATGTTATGAGAGAGTTATGACCTGGTTCGATGAGAATAAGCATGTCCTTGGTTCGATTGGGATGTGCATCCTCATAATGCAGGTAATGCTGGTATGATGTCTGTCAACAGGGCTTTGATTTGCTGTCAGCATTCTTGATTCTGCTGTGTGAAAAGTGGTGCTCAACTGCTTTGAGTTTGATCATGATTTCAAAAAGATCAGATTTGTTTTCTGAGTTCATTTAAGGCCGTCTACTCAGAAAGGAAGCAGGTCAGTAGTCAGTCCTGCAAGGAAAACATGCTACAGTGGGGGTTTGCTTACCTGCATTTTGGCTTCAGAGCACCACTTTGAAGTTCCCATGTTTAGCCATTTGTTACGCTGTCCCTTAGAGAACCTTTTTTTTTTTTTTAAGTTTGGAAGCAAGTTCTAGAAATTGCCAAAATTAGTCAAATCATGGCCACTGAATCAAGTAGGTTAACGTGTTTTAAAAAAGACATGCAGAAGTATCATCATAATCTGTTAAGGTTTGGGGGTTCCTGTATCACTGCTGTACTTTTGGGGAAGAATACCTGAATCTGATGTATTCAGTCACAGTTATCTGGCTAAACAAGCACAAGTTGTTGGGTAAAAAGGAAGAGTGACTTGTATGTATTGATTCTGAAAATTATTGCACATAGGACAAAAAGCCCTGAGAGCTTTTTGCCTCCATCTGTGCTCTGACAGATACATCTCTGAACATCACTGTGTGCCCGAACAACATACATCCAAGTTTACTGATCAGTGTTGAAGCTTGAGAAATGTGGCTAGTGTAGAATGCCTTTTAAAACTACAGCTGGACCATGACCACAGGTCAGCAGTGCAGTTTTGGTAGCTTTCCTATACTGAAGCCCTTATTGTTTGTTTTCCTTCAGATTCTTGGCATGGCCTTCTCCATGACACTCTTCCAGCAGATTCACAGGACTGGCAAAAAATATGATGCCTAAAGCCTCCGAAACATTATCACATCAACCCTTCTTTCTCATCATAAAAATGAACAAAAGGAACGACCGTAAAGTGTATCAAGCCTAGCCCTGCTGAGGGAATCCGTCCCATTGACCGATCTACTTTGTTGTTACTTGTCCGGTTATTATCACAACTTGGTATTTGACTAATTTTTTTGTCTGTTTCACATTTGCCATTTATTTGCCAAAGAGGGGGGAACACCCCCAACAAATGGATTTTCTACACAAAATCATAGATCTGCTCTAAGAATGTTTCTTAACTTAAGAAAATGTTTTGCTCTACTAATCCATGCTATATGTGCAAAAATTATGTGTGTTCAACTTCAAGGGAGAATTCTTCAAAGTCTTCCATTAAGTTTTCAACCCTCGTGTCCAATTTATTGGAAGATTCGGAAAAGCCACTCTAACTGAGAGTACTAGGAACCGGAGCTGCTTTGCTTTGCAGCTTCTTGTACCTTACGGTGTATACTTTTTTATTATGATAATGATGACGATGATTATTACGATGGATATAGCTTAGAATTTAGTTGCCTGACTTATAACTTCTTACTGGTTTTGGTTTTACACATTTATTGTACATTAATTTGGGAACCACTGTGCGATCTCCAGAGGACATGTTTTTCAAAGTTGACAGTTGATGCAGGCAAATAAAGACATAACCTTTCTCAAGTCCGTGGGGAGGCATCATCTACCTTTATCAGGGCCTTGATGCCCTTACTGTAACAAAGCTGGTTTCTTTCAAATCAGAGGCTCTTTCCTCGGACGGAATGCAATGCCTTCCTGTTGGACCAGATGGTGAGCTTCCTACTCCTGTGAGGCCAAGTTCCAGTGTCTTTACTCACCTAAAGCAGTGCCTGGCTGCTTTGATGTCATGCTAGTTTGAAAGCTGAAAGTACTGACTAAGCAAGTTACTGCTCCCTGGCACGAAGGAGAGAGATTGCAGTCTGACCTACTGGCCAGCTGGCAGCAGACTTCACAGATTGTGTTGTCTGTTTCGAAAAGTTTGCCCAAGGCATGGCATGCTGCTGGATGTGAAGGAAGGGGATGGCAACGTTGTCATGCCATGCCCTTCATTGAAGGGGTTTCCTCAGGCAGATGACAGCTGTCTCCCTGAGCTGGAAAAGGTGGTTTCATTAAAGGTGACCAGATGATGCGGGAAAGGGGCAATTTCCAAAACAGCACTCAGAGACAGTACGTATTGTCACACCTTCAGTGCAGAATTGGTTCTTGCTGACGGATTGCCAAGTCCGTCCAATGGGGTAGTTCAGAGTTTACTGCAATGCTTATTTTTACCGACATTCCTGTTAGAAAACTTGAACATATATTCCTGTAGTTTTAATGCTGCTTCGTTGCAAGCAGCCTCCATTTACCCTTTGTTCCAGGTTTTTGCTGTTTTGTGAAGGAAGGAGGAAAGGTTCAGACGTTGGAGGATGTTCTGATTTAACTCCAGTCAGGGCTTGACTCAGCCCTGAAAGAAACGCTGCTTTTTGTCTAGCAGCAGTCAGAAGTGACCTTCAGAGGTTACCTCATCCACTGTCACTCTCAAAGGGGTACTGTCGTCTGTGTGAGGTGGGGTTTACTATGACGTTATTGGGCTGAGTTTCAGAAACTGTTGAGGATGGAGATTTTGTGCCTTTCAGAGCCATGCCATGTCAAACTACTCCTCTGGTAAACAAGTTTCTCTTAATGTCCAGTCTGAATATTTCTACTTTAAACTCTTCAAAGACAGTATTTTAATTGTATCATTCAGCCTGTCTTTTCCTTGTGGGCTGTTGAACCACTTCATATCTGGGAGTTTTTAGTCCCGTTTATCTTCCTAGTAGGTCCTGCATGCATCTGTACCTTGGCAGCGATAGCGTTTTGTGTGGCTTATGTGTCACTTAATTTTGAGTTCCTATGAAATCAGTGTGACAGGAAGGAGTGTGAATGTGTGGGAGATCGAGGTGAATTTGGGTGTTGCAGTGAAGAAGGAGGTTACTATTCTTGGAGCATGGCCCTTGCCCATATGAGCACAATGCCCAAAGTTTCACAGGGCTCTTGTTTCCCGCTGAAGCACACAAAGCCGTATGGGTTCAGCTAATTCACTTGGTTTGCCTTTGAAGAAGCAGAGGGAAAGCACAGAATCTGAATCCAGTTTTACTTCCATTTCTAACAAAAATTGGGACCAGGAGCATCTGAGCCCCACTGGAGATGGATGTTCCATGTTGAAGAAGGGGCTCTCATGCCCAGTGTACTTGCTGCTAAATGTAAGACTGTATCCAAAGTTGCTAAGATGCGTTCCCATTTTTGCCAGAAAAGACAGGATGATTTTCATCTGATGGCTCCACTTCATTCTCCCTTTGGGCAGATGTGCTTAGCTTTCTCTAGCTTTCTCTGGCGTTCAAAAAGAGCAGGGTGCAGGGCTGAGCAGGAGCATCATCTCTGTCCTTTTGGGTCGCACAGTGGTACCTGCCACATCTTAAATTTTAATCTGCAGTCAGTTTTTGAACAAAAAATGGTAAAATATTATATTAGTGAAAGTAATAAGGAAATAAAAAATGTTTATGAGTAACTCAGAGATGAAATGTGTAGTTGCAAACTCAGCTACTTTGCCTTCCATCCAAACTTATTTTTCTAGAATGCTTCATTCCATTTCACGATCTAGCGGCATAGATCCTGAAATCTTTTTTTAATGACTACTTTTGGCATTTTAAGCACAGTATTAAGTGAGATAGTTACACGAGCTTCATGTATTCATCTCTATGAAGCCACCTACAGGAAGGGAGTCAAAAGCAGGGCTGATTTGTGTCTCCAGCTGACTTTCTGGTGTGGGAGGTGATGACAGACATCCTGAAAGGAGCAGAAAAATAATGCCATTTTCCAGGCAACAAAAAACAGCCCTGGAAAGCATGAGGCTGCATCAGTCAGTTTGTCAGAGAAGGCACTAACTGTCCTGTAAATTGGTCAAAGGGAGCTTTGGCTCATGTATGTATGCACTTTTTTCGCTTATGCTGGTGGGTGGCTGGCTGTGTGTTTTCCCCAAATGTCGCTCTGATTATTTAATGATAAGTTTTTAGCATGTTTTTAAATAAAAACAGATACTGAGTAAAAGTATCTTTAATATACACAAATATTGATTTGTATAAATGCATACCTCTCTGTACCTCTAATTCATGAAAGCACAGTTCAAGTGTGTAGAAGTGCTGTTTCTCCGAGTGTTCCTTCAGACTGTAGCGTACCTGCCGTCTCACTGTGCTTCATGCCTGGAAGCTGCAGCAGAACTTTAGCAGAGACAGAATAGGAGAATTGCTCAAAGAACCTCTACTTGAAAGCTGTTGCAGTGATAGCAGTGAATTCTGTTCCCTCCTGGTGGTACCAAGGCTATAGGAAGCCCGGGTGGAGGGTGCTCAAAAGAAGTGCCCATAGCTAAGTAGTTTGTGAGATGATAAAAACAATAGCATAAATGTCTCCAAGATGACAGAAGATGCCTTGTGTATGTCATGTGTTTAGTTCCTGGACTATGGTCATGTTAGGCCAACTCACCTATCCTGTGTCCACCCCCCGTTTGTATGCGTGAAATACAAACTCACACTCAGGAGGGGTGCAAGCAGAAGGCAGCCGAACTGATCCTCATGGTCTTTCTTGGGCAATGTATTGGTCAGGCACAGAAAAGGCAAGGAGGGAAAGGGTGTTTGCCCGGCAGATGGTTCTTGGGAGCAGCACGGACTGGGGCACACGTAATTCTGATGTAATGTCTTTCCATAGAGTTGAGCAGCTTCATCCTGTAGCTGGCATGGGGAAACCTGAAGATGTTTGCCTATGGGCTAGCCATCTGTTGTGCAGTAGATAGTAGACACTAAGAAACAACATGCCATTCCCACCAGGTGATGTTTGCACCAGTGTTTCTTCTATGCAATACCTACTTTCGCCTTTATATAAAAGATTTTTACTAGGATGATATAAAAATAAAGGATTTTTTAAAAGGTGCCTCTTTGAGCTCTTTTCTCTCCTAACCCGAACTACCACCAAAACCAAAAGGGGACCAAAAAAATTCCAAAACGTGACTGCAGAGATCTATTCCAACTCCACTGCAGTTGAAGTCTAGAGCTCTTGAAGCCATTGCAGCTCTGAAAAGATCCCCCCGTCCTCTCTCCTCCTCCTTCAAAACAATAATAAAACAGAAATAGGTGTGAAAGATCCCCAAAGAACAGCAAATTATTTTTGAGAGCCTGGTAATAGAGGAAAGAGTTTGCAAGTGTCCCAGAGAATATAGAATAGTCAAAAGAGAGGACAAAGTAGTAGAGAGCTTGAAAGACATCCAGAAGACACTGAGAAGTCTCAGAGAAACTGTGAAAATTGATTAAACACTGAGAGAGATAGAAAAAGATCACAGAGTAGCCCTCTAAATGCCAGGAAAGTAGAAGATGGTCTAAAAGATCCCCAGATGAAACAGTGGAGCCAAGCAGAAGCCAAAGCAACAGAGTCTGAGAGAGATTCAGAGAACATAAAGTAGCCTCAAGGAAGGGAGGAAAGCCTGTAAGTGCCCAAGGAAACAAAATGTAGCAATGTCAAAGAGGCCAAGAAAGAGCTCAACAAGGCAAAGGAACCCCCAAGGAATACCAAAGAGGGCTCAGCAATAAAAAAGTATCAATCCAAGATATTAAAGGAGCTCCAGAGTACCCAGTAGGACAGAGGGTGGCCTCAGAGAACACTGAGGGGAAAAAAAAAAGGCAGAAAGCTTGAAAGTGCCCCAAACAGTAGCATCAAAGAAGGAAAAATGAGCCAAAATTTGTAAAAGAAACTAGTAGAAAGCCTGAAAGAACCATGGTGACCACACCAGAGACCTTGACAGTAACAAGAAAGCAGCAGAGATTCTGGAAGAACTCTAGGAGAGTATGACGGCAGCTGCTAAGAAAAGAGAGAGGCTAAGAGAGCAACGGCGGAGAAGGGAAGAAACAAGCAGGGAGGCTGAAAAAGTCCCAGAAGAAGATACCACAAACCTTGAAGAGACTGAAACAGCCTCAGAAACCCCAGTTTAACATCAGAGAAGTTGCGGGGCGGGAACAGCAGAAAGACTGAAAATGCTCCAAAGTCACCTCAGTGAGAGGAAGGAACAGACTGAAAGCCTGGAAGGTGGCCGTAGCAGCTTTGGAGAGGCTATGGAAGAAGTGGAGAGGTTGAAGGAGTCCCAGAGAAGCCTTGCAGAGCCTGAGAGACTAGAAGAGAGCCTGAAAGAACCTCAGAGAGGACAGAGTAGTCTCAGCAACGGTAAGAAAATAGCATAGAGCTTGCAAACGTGAAGGATAACAAAGACTAGCCTCAGAAAGGTGGAAAGAAGTAGACAAGAAAGAGACCCAGAGAGCATACAGTCGCCTTGGGCCTCGGAGAG